CGTTACCTAATAACTGTTAAGCCTATCACTTGTTTTACAGGTACGAGACATCATAATTTGCATCCTGTTCCAATATAGCTAAATAATTTGCTAACATAAATTAAATATTTCCTTTCTCAACTGGCGAATATTTCCATTGAGGATTTTTTCCTCTGAAGCTTGAAAAAAGTGACTATAAACCCTAACCGAAGTATGACATTCATAATTTGACCGTATCTCACAATCTTGAGCATTTGAAAACATAACAGCATTACGACAGCTTATGTTATTGCTTTATACAGCATCTTAAGGACTAATATCAAAGCCTACTAACACTTTTAAAACTGGGATATACACAGCTTTGTTCTTTGTAGTACTAGGACATTGTTTTTTAAAGTGTAGAATATACACAATTCAAGTGTTTATGCTCATTATTTCTAATATTTAATTGTGTAGTCATTAAGATCCTATATTTGTAGTTGACGGGCCGTAAAAACAAAAATCTAGTATTTTTGGTTTTTCTTGGTTTTAGTGTTATAATATAAATTCTGTTTCCATATGTGAAAACGTTTGAAATTGTAAGGTTATAATCTTTATTCGGAGTCCTAACAGATGGCGCAGCCTACATTATAACATATGATCGAATACAAGGGGATTGGATAAAACACACAGAAATTAAAGTACTTATTACGTTCAGGAAGTACTTATTAGTAAGAACTTCCGAGTGGAAGTAAATAAAAGTATATGACAATATTTCAGCTACAACATATCTGCCATATCTAGTGGCAACAAGACCTTACTATTTTAGAACCGTCTTAATATAATAAATAATTTTTATACATTTTTAATACCTTATGTGTTGTGTATTTTTAAAGGATATTAAAAGTCACGAATCATATTTTCACTCTGTAAGTATTTTGGTAACCATATTTAGAAGCTCTATAATTTTTGAGCAAGATCTAAATAAAGATCGAGTCGAATGAGGGAGATTTATTTTTCACCATTGACAACAAATGACTAACATTTTATATTTATCTGCTTTAATCCTTAATATAAGCTCATTTTACATATATATTTAATTAGCCCTCTTAGAACAGTAAAAGGTACACGCAGTTTCTATGCGGTGTGTGCAACGTAGATGTAGAAAAAAACTCGAGAAGAAAATATATACATATATATAATCAAAACACGTACGAGATTTTATATTTTCGTTGATCTAAAACAAAGACTTTTTTTAGACGTACAACTTATATTAATAAATTCCAGTGCAGAATGACAGGTATGCAGTTGTAATTAATGAACAGTTACCTGTGAACAACAAGATTATTATCATACCATCGATTATAATTACCCTGTTCATTGCATTTTGTCCCTTATCATGATACATGTATTTAATGTGTCATTTTTTGTGAGCTTGGTTTCACAACCCCATATGTATATTAAACATTGCGCAAGCATACAAAATAGGTTACACACACTCTCTCTCTTTCTCTCTCTCGCCCCCCAGTAGCACAGCGGTATGTCTGCGGACTTAAACGCTAGAATCCGGGTTTCGATACCCGTGGTGGGCAGAGCACAGATAGCCCATTGTGTAGCTTTGTGCTTAATTACAAACAATACAATACTTCTCTCTCTCGACTTGGCGTAGCCTAACAGTTAGCTTGCCGGACTGTGAATCCGAGAGTCTATGATTCGTGTCCCATTACCGCAAAATCACACTCCACGCTTTGGGGCAGTTATAAAAATGGTCAAATTCCACCATACGATCAAAGCAGTCCAAGAGTTGGCGGTTTGTGTTGTTGACCAGGTGTCTTCCCTCTAGTGTATCATTTAACTCATTGACTGCTGATTCGCCGTATAGGGTACGGTCCGCATCCGGCAGTTAAATGCCAGTGTGCTGTATACAGTGTACGACTCGCCTAAATTAGGGACAGCTAACGCAAAAACTCGTCACGCAAATATCAGAGCCAAACTCTCTCTGTACCTTATATATACGCAGGCACACACATATACATAACCAAGGCCAACAATAACAAGAAAGTGTCGCATATAAAAACAAACAAATAATACTAATAGAAGTACGAAGCGGAATGAGTGAAGTGAACTTGTCTGTAGAAGTGGGCCACACACACACACACAGTACGGTAGGAGCTCACCGTGGAGACTTTGTTCGCAAGACTTGTATATATACAAAATATGTATAAAGATTAAAAGTATATATGAATGCTGAAGTCGACAAGCCTCAGATCTAACACTACTACTCATCAGCTCTAACTAGCTTTAGAAATGTAATTGCTACTAATGAGACAGAATAAGATTAAAATAACTGAAACAGATTGCAATAACAGAACCACTGTGGGTGAGGACTAAAACATATCTTGAAGGTAGTGTTATAGCCACCATAATGACCAATTATGTATATGACAGTATAATGAAATCAAAGACTTTTAGGTCAAAAAATGCCATGATTATAAAATTTAGAAGTGGTATATTACTTCGAAACGTGAACTAGCACAAACCAGATCAATATGCAGTTACAATACATCAGTATTAACTTATGATCAAAGCGAGCTAACTACATATATCATAACCAAAAATTAACCCAGTAATTAATACAGCTGATTTAGTATATACGGTTCTAACTAGAACCATGCACATCATAAAACAAACGCTTCTAATGATTAGAATGCGCTGATTATTCAGTTCAGTATTCTTGCTGTCAGCAATATTTTCGGCCATAATTCCTACGAGGTTCGGTTCGACCAACTAAGGAGACTTACGTTAGCCTTAAATCCATATACTATGCTAAAATGCAAAATAATCCTCATGAAAAGACAAAAAGAAAAATAATAATATATTACGTATTTTAATCAATACTATTAACGAAACTAACATCAAAGAAAATAATATACACTATATCTACAGTTTCAAAAGCCTGACACTAGTTAGTGGGGGGTCTGGCATGTTCAGGTAATTAGGACGCTTGACTCGCAATCTGAGGGTCGCGGGTTCGAATCCTCGTCCCACTGAACACGCTCGCCCTTTCAGCCGTATAATGTGACGGTCAATCCCACTATTCGTTGGTAAAAATAGTAGCCCAAGAGTTCGCGGTGGGTGGTGATGATTAGCTGTCTTCCCTCTAGTCTTTTACTGATAAATTAGGGATAGCTAGCGCAGATAGCCCTCGTGCAGCTTTGCGCGAAATTCAAAACAAAACCAAGTCCAACTAGTTAGAGAAATACGCTAGTCCTATCTGATGTAAAAATATGGTTCACAGGGCATATTCCAAGCTGCAATTCATAAGAATATCATTACACGAAATCTGTAACACAGCAAGAGGCCTATCAAATGGGACAAGCCCCCCCCCCCTCTCCCAGTGGCACAGCGATAAGTCTGCGGACATAGAACACTAGTAACCGGGTTTCGATGCCCGTGGTGGGCAGAGCAACTTTGTGCTTATACTACAAACAAAAGGGAACAAAGTGTAAGTGAGGCAACAAACTAAAGAGTTAGAACATTGCTGAACCAACAGAAAATTGAACATCCTAGTCACTTATTTCATTCCCAGAGATTCCCATGTAACCAGGAATCCAAACACAAATAATCTGTCGATCGCAGATTAAGATGGTGCAATTTCAACTGAATTCAAGTTAGAGAAAATGTATAAAGAGTCTATTAAAATAATCTTCTGGAAATTATGTGAAATTACACTATTAGGAGAAGGTAATCCGTAAATTACAAAGTTCAGTTTACGTTTTCCATCAAATACTAGCCCCATCATCAGCCAACGTAACATCTAAATTTAAATAATGTAATAAAAGTCAACCACATTCAGTTTGTATTACCGATTATTACTATTATTGCATTATACCTGTGATAGTTGACATTTTTCTATAAAAGGTATAAGTATGATATATATGTGTGTGTGTGTGTGTGTGTGTGTGTTACACAATGTTCATGACTTTATATATATATATATATGTATATGTATACCTCGCATGGCATTTATTTCGTTGGTTTCGCGGGGAAGGTGGGACCAGCATGCGCGTGTGTGTCATTCGCCGCAAAGGTCTACTTCAATATGGGCGATCAAAAAAGATACTTCTAGTAGGCGCGCCAGTAAACGTCACTTGAATTTTGCGTCCGTTTCACGTAGTAAAAATTGAAATGGCTGCCAAAAGTTTACTTTGTCGCATTGTTTATCCATTTAAACTCGAACGCAAGGGGACGTTGAAGAGGGGGGGGGCTGAATTCCAGTACCAAATTTAAACTGGCTCGCCCAGTTCCTCACAACAACTTGTGACGTCAAGATTACACAGTCGGCAACGCTGCTTGATATACACATCAAGATATGTAAAGTTAATTGGAGAAAAATAAAAAATAAGGTCTTGAATGTGCATGAAATATTATTATAAACTTGTCTCGTTTTGATAGGTCTTTCTGAAGTTTAATGCATTTTAAAAAACGAATATTGTATTCAAATTTATGTACATAATGAAATCACTTTGAACCACTGCTCAGACGGAGGGTCGCTAGCGAAAAGTACCCACCGCCATGAGTGCTTTGTCCAACTCTTTCAACCGAATAAAGGAATTGATTGTCACTTTCATAATGCACCAATAGCTAAAGTGTGAAGCATGTTCAGCAGCATTACTATTTGGAACTATTTGGGCTCTATGATCTGCAGTTCGACATGTTAATAACCACTAGTCCACATGCCATGCAGGTTTTAATTTCACCTTCTGAGAAATATCAACAATTAGATCTTCCCCAGTGGTATACTTGGTTTCAAATTTGAAAGTATATCCATTTTATTTTCGATAACTTAGTAACTATTTACATATTGTTATTTGGACATATAATTTTAGTAACAATTTATTAAACTAACGATGTCACTAATTAAGAAACTTACACAGCTTACTATTTCCCATTAGACTAGTTTTAAAGTTTCTCTTTTCCAAACTAATCCACTAAGTCATGTATAAATAAAGTACAAGAAGAGTAATATGATAATGGCTTACTGTGTGCGTAGTGTAAAGGCAGCACTGGTAATGGAAGACGGAAGGTTGAGTCCTTTGGTAATTTCTCTCCAAATCTTTTTATTAATAACCTCCACCAGACCTCCTCTTGCTACCACAAGTTTGTAAAGTTCGTATAAGTCCAATACTTGCTTGGCCATAATTGGAATCCTATTCACTGGAGTTCCTAGAAGGTCGAGAGTAGAAAATAAATTACAAATCTTACTGTCCTTGTAACACCATGGCATAGTGCGAAAAGCTAAATAATGTCATTCTCCTTTCTCCAAACAACCAATTCATAAGTAGTGGTTGTCTCTTCTTGCTACAATTACAGCTGTCAAATGTATTGCTCAATAATACTAATGTCCATTCTCAATCACTCTTGAATTGTGAAATGTCCATTCTTATAGCCCTCCCCTCTTCCCGGGGGCTAAGCGGTAAGTCTGGGGAGTAGTAACTAAAAATCAGGTTTCGATACACGTGGAGGGCAGAGCACAAATAGTACATTATGTAGTTTTGTACTTAATAATAATCGAACAAACAAATCCATTCAGATAATTTACGATGATATCTTATTGGAAGAAAGAGAAACTGTTGTATATAAATCGCTTTATTGTGCAATTCGAGTTTCTACTATCAACAGTAAATAAAATGTTCATATAGAATGATCATTTAACACAATAGTTCACTATAAAACTATCAACGATGCTGTAAAGTGAGTTATGTTTTTATGAGTAGAATCACGTAAAACGTTCCAAAATTTAATATACATATATATATATATAATATGTCACAGAAGTGACGAAATACATTATAAAAGTAGTTTAATGATTACTTTCAACATATGTTTCTGGCAAGAAAAAAAGTAATAAAACTACAAAAAAATGAATATTGCAGAATAGTTTAAAATCAGATAAAATGGAGTTTGTTTTATTTAACGAGGCTTTTTAAACTTTAAAATTACATGCACAGCATTTTGTTCACATATTTATAATAAATTGTTCAATAGCTTCATTTGTTTAAAAATTTTCGCGCAAATTTACTACAGGGCTATCTGTACCAACCTAATTTAGAAGTGATAGATTAGAGGCAAGACAGCTACTCAACATTATCCACCGCCAACTCTTGGGCTACTCTTTTATTAACAGAAAGTAATTTTCTCCTGAAATTATATTTGATGTGCGTTTAAAAAAAACAACAACAACAAAAAACACGACTTCGTGCATATTTACTTAGATAATGTAACCATATTATGACTTGACACAAGATACTAAGATAAAAACTCTGAAATTAGCTGTAGCATTTGTAACATTATAATTACATCTCTAGTTGAAATCGGAAGCCTACGATTCGTGGAAGAAACTGGAGTTTTTAATTCATATTCATCTTCTAAATGTTCTTTCTGATAGTTGGAAACATTGGAGCGAAGTGTTACTGATGAAACCGAGTACATTATAAACATATTTCTATATGACAGAAATGTTGAAATTTACTTTGTTGGGCTGTTAATCAGCTGGACTAACTGTATCAGTTACTTCATACACACGCACTGGAATTGAGACTTAAGAAGGAAAAGCAGTAATCCGTACAACATATGGCACATCGATAGACACACATACATAAGTTTCACTGCTATCAGTAGTGACAGGAAATGCCTTACTCGCCAATCATATTTGTGGTCCACGAACCAGGGTTCGGGTCTAGCACTGAGAAATTAAATGTTGAAAAAAGAGCTATAAATAACTTACTGTGAAGGGTTCGATGTTTCCCGACACACTAATTCAAAGGAATTGAGCCAGTCTTCACCAGAAGCGACAAGGCTGTCGCGTAGTCAGCTGTGGGCATATGTTAGAACTAAGCTGCTTCTGTACGCAGATATCTAGCGCTCTCATTTATTCAACAAAAGAGCCTCAGTCTGAGCATGCAAAAGCGCTGCTAGTTATGTTGATTCAAGGTTGGGGTGAAGACTGGTGTGAAGCATGCTACTACTATTTAGAAAAGAATGATCCTATAGTTGAAAGTTGAGGTATTCAAAGTTTCTAATGACTTGATGTAAATGCTCAGTTGAGTCGCCTTTCCAACAGTTTGGTTACTTAATTTATCAATGTTCCACAATTTCTTCGAAAAATGGCACTATAAAATGACATTTTACTAAACTTTTCTTTAACAAGCGTACTGAATAAATAATATTGTGTTGCTAATCCTTACCCTTATTTTCATTTTCAAATTACTAAATTCAAATATATAGCAATTACAATTCACACCATAACAGTTGTTCTGACACAGCCGGCCTGATAAGTTCTGGTATAGAGCGAAAGGCCTCGTCGTCGCTTTAAGAGGCAGAGGTAGTGTGGTTGGCTATATTTTCACTCATAAGTTCTTAGAATATATACTGCAGAAAAACATTTGTGAACTTTGAGGAAAATTCACGGCTTGGAGAAAAGCGGTCTGTTTAACAAGTATTCAAAATACATTTAAATAAACCATTATATAATTAATACTAATACGACACATTTGTATAACACATTTTGTGTACTTCACGCCTTAATTTTTCTCTCCATAAAACTCCAATTATCGATGCAAGTATATTAACAACATCAACACAGAGTCCCGTTTGGATAAGCAGTAAACACTAGGCTTACAATGATAGAACTCGGGTTTCGATTTCCCACAGTGGGCGGAACGCAGATAGCCCATTGTGTAGCTTTGCGCTGAAACAATAAAAATTACAAACAGAGATCTCATATTACATCTCCTATGGAAACTTTATTGCAATTTCATAACTGCATAATATTATGATTATAATTAGAAAATAATTTTCACGCAATTGCTAACCCTAAATGTTTTTAATACTGTATGCTTTTTTGCATTAGTTCATTACTGCTACAGCAAAAAATACACTTTATTGAATACTATCTCTACACTATTGACGCATAACGTAACAACCGCGAAACTAAGAACATTATTTTTCTTTTTCAGGAATTAATTTTTCTTGACCTGTGAGGGTATTTGAAAACATTTGAAACTAAATAGCATAAATTGAATGAAGCGTTTTTTACAAGTAGTTTAAATATCAACAAGTAATAAATTCGTAAAATTCTCAGCTATTTTCTTCATCAGAAGTTTGTTTGTTTTTCCATTAATCCTTAAGCTATACAATTTATCACACCTTAGGCCAGGCCAACCCTAATGATATACATTGTACTCCCTCCCCCCAGGAGTTTCAAAACACACAGAAAAATTCTGCTTTGGAAGTAAACATGTGGAGCAACGCCTGCAAGACTTAAAAGAATTCGCTCTGTTATAAAATGTTGTTTACGACTAAAATCTTCGTGTAGCTCCTGAATATCTACTAACTGCTAATCTGAGTCTGGAGTCCTATCGACTCGATCACGTCCCCAAGACAAACAAGGGCTCAGTCACGTGTTCCAGATGGTTCCCATTGCTGCTGCTTTCACCACTTACTGTCAACCTACTAGTGGTCATGCGCGAGGGCAAGGGGTCACTACTGTCGCGCCGTCTCAGTCTAATCAGCATCCACCCCCATCCTTTTTCAATCCTTCCTTATTCCATAAATAATCAATCGTATCTTTTCGTTATATTTATGATACTATAAAGAATGTCCAGTCATTAACGCGAAGGATTCGGCATGATTGAAGCAATAAACTCAGAGAGACTAATAATTTCACAGCTTGAAGACAACACACATGTGGAATGTGAACTAATTTGCTTTTAATTCATATTATGTCATATTTTGTACTTAAAATACTAAGGCTTCTAATTAGCCTTTATGATTTGCTAGTGTACATTAAGCATCAACGTTCATGTAATCTCTGCATACATAGTCAGCGATTCTATCCCTAGCAATCTACAAAATGATTTCAAAAATTTATATTTCACTGGCATTCTGATTCAAGGTTTGACGGACGGACAGATTGCTTGGAAAGGATTAGATTTGGACAATGTTTTGGAAGTTCGTGCTTACTTTCGTCATATACAAGCACATCATCATGAAGATCTAATACTTTTCTGACACTAACGAATTCACGCAAAACGTTATCAACGTACCTAATCTTTGTTTCTGTACAAAGGTATAAAAACAATGGAATGGCTGTTTTGGACGAGAGTTTTATTAGTAAACTAATGGACAGAACAAAGGAAATTAGCTTGAAACCAAATCTAAATCTATGACCGTCATACTGTCCGTAAGTAGAACCAGCGTTATACCGAGGTCAACATTAGGTTTCCAGCTATAATTTCCGATTTTGTGTGTGTGTGTGTGTAAATGAGTGAGTGAAGGAGCCAAAAAAAACAAAAAAAAACGAGGATATGACCTCAGTATCCTCATAGCTAGTTAAGCCCTGTGTATAATACCAACTTAATCTAGTTTTACACACCTATCTTCATGTCCACCGTCAAAATCATATAAATAAAATAACTGAGGATAGCTACTTAAGCCATGTGTATGATATTAACTTAATCTAGCTTTACACACCTATCTTCATGTCCACCGTCAAAATCATATAAATAAAATAACTGAGGATAGCTAGTTAAGCCCTGTGTATGATATTAACTTAATCTAGCTTTACACACCTATCTTCATGTCCACCGTCAAAATCATATAAATAAAATAACCGAGGATAGCTAGTTAAGCCCTGTGTATGATACCAACTTAATCTAGTTTTACACACCTATCTTCATGTCCACCGTCAAAATCATATAAATAAAATAACTGAGGATAGCTAGTTAAGCCCTGTGTATGATACTAACTTAATCTAGCTTTACACACCTATCTTCATATCCACCGTCAAAATCATATACATAAAATAACTGAGGATATGATTTTAGTATTCTCATATCTATAATTACGTATGATAATAATATGTCCTGTGCTAATCTAGTTTCACACATCTATCTCCATTTCGAAGTCGTGTCAAAATATTATCTCTTCTAACTAGCTAGATAAACCGAACTTCACTACTATATTTTGATCGCTTGTTTCTCAACGCCTTTATTTACTAGTTTGTATACATTGGAGATTCTAAATATGCAATAATTGAAATAACGAGAGGGTACATGTGGCAATTATTAAGTGCATATGAAATGTAAATAGTAAACTGAAGCAAACATCTTGTCTTACATTAAACTCGTGTTCACGCGTGAAAATACTGATACACACCAGAAACA